TCGGCCTCTCGCCGTCGGGACACCGGCGGCGGCGGCGGTAGCGCGTACTCCTCGGGGTACTCCGAGGAGGACTCCGAGGGCGGTGATGACGACGACGATGACGACGAGAACGATTACGAGTCGAGGTCGGCTTCCACCAGGTCCGCTCAGAGCTCACAGGCTTCCCCCGGCCCTAAGGACGGCAGCAGCGGGGGCGCATACTACCGGCGCGGGTCGGTGGAGGGCAGCGCCGGCGCCGGCGGCGTCCGTGGAAGCCACGTGCTGGACTTTGACTCAGTCGGAGGGGGGGGAGCGGGGCGAGCGATAGGGGACGACACGATGCTGTGGGTGACAGAGATGGACCTCGGGGGGCACGGGGGCATCCAGCGGACCCTGCTGCAGAAACGGGTCGGGGAGTTCGACGGGAGGGAGGGGCAGGACGCCATCCCGAACTGGGTGATGGCGTGCGTGCTGCACGGGGAGTTCCACACCAAGGAGCAGGACAAGATGGCGTTCTTTCTGGCCCCCTGGATACCGCCAGAGCGAGGCGGCGGCGGTGGCCTCTCGCTGCCGTCCACCCCGTACCGGCAGCCGCAAGGGAAGAGGGGCGGAGGGGGGAGCAGCGGGGCGGCGGTGGACGCGAGGAAGCCCGCCTCGCTCGGGGGTTCGAGGGGAAGCGGAGCGGCTGGCACCGCCGCCGCCGCCGGAGCGAAGGCCGGCGGGGGGGCTGCGGTAGGGGCGGGCGGCGTGCCCCCCAACCAGATATCACAGAGGTTCACGGCTCCTGTGCAGATGCTCGTGTCGAAGGTGGGTTGATTTTTTGTTGGACCTGTTTTCCAGGGCGTAACTTGTGTTGCGCTCTCTGCGCCCTGAGAAGGATCTTGAGTTTGTTATCGGGGTGAGGAGGTCGCCTGAGGCTGTTTCGCTTACAGGTGTCTCGCCTATCCCGTCGGACCTCCTGATTTGTTTGGGTTTCATTGTAGCGTTGTGTGGAGAAGCACTGCAGCGGTGGCTGACGTTCTGCTTGCTTTCCTCGGCCGTCTCGTCTCCCGCCGGCTGCTGCCCTTGGCAGCAGTGCACTACAACGAACGAGTGGTCTCGGCAAAGACAGCAGGTTGCCATGTGCAACACCTCACGAAGCAAGATGTGTGTTCAGCAGCGCGTGTGTCCACACAGAGACCTGCGTGACCTGTCTGCCGCTGTCCTTTCGCTCTCTAGGTTTCCTCGCTCATGTTTCCCGCGCTCCGGTTCTTCAGAAAGATACAACCGGCCTTCCCCCTTGTGATCGCCGTACCCATGGCCAAACTTTAGTCCCGCACATACGCCGATGAAGAACCCCTCTCAAAGCCAAAACAGAGGAAGCAGGAGACCCTCTCTGATCTGCCTATCGTGCCCCCCGCGCTCCTCGCTTAGGTCATGGCATATGTCCTCTCTCACGAAGACCTCCACCAGCACCTTGAGAGCACGGTGGTACACCCGGAGGGAGGAGATGACACCGACGGCAGCACGGGCGGCAACGGCAACGGCGGCGGCGGCGGCGGCGGCGATGCAGCTGCAGGGATGATGATGCGTCCTTCCCGAGAGACACCGGAAGACTTGGTGGAGGTGCTCTGCGGCGAGCGAGTGCTGGAGCCACACCTGTATATTGGTGAGGTTTGGGGATGGGGGCGGTGGGGGTGGGGGTGGGGGTGGGGGGGTTCATGGGCCCGTGTAGCGGTGGAGGTTCGGGGTGCGAGAGATTGTGACTAGAGGAAAGAGCGTTGCTGGGGAGGAGAGGAAGAGGTGGCGGTTGGTCGTAGAAGGGGAGTGAGCAGGTACGGGTGCTTGTCAGCATCTCAAAGCGTTGGCGATGTTACTTTCGACACCGCTGTTGGTGTTTGAGTCCAGCCTCGTACAACAGCAGCGCACGCGCATCAGACGCCTTGTCTGTTACGTGTTGCCCCCCGGGAAATGTGGCTGAAAATATAATGCCCCGCACGCGCTCGGATGCCCACCCCACCTGTTCACTCACCCGTCCACTCCCCTCCAATGCTTTCCTGTTTCTTTTTGCGCGCGCCACGAACATAACACCCGCGGTATCGTCTTGTCCATCGATAGGCGCGGTCCAGAAGTATATTTGGGAGGCGACGGGGTCAGGCCCCACCCTCTTCTTGCACTACAGGTCACGGAGGCGACCGCCGGGGGGCCCGTAGCGCGAACCACACAAGACGGTGCCAGCTTAGCATGGGATAGAGAGCGCGAGGGGAGGGGGTAGCTGGAGGGTTGAGTCGGTCGGCGGGAGGAGGAAAGACAAGACCTACAATGATAAGTACGGCGTGCAATAGTCAGGCGGGCGAAGGAGCGTACGACGTTTACGTGGGCGTTGGCTGATTTTGGTGAGGTATCTCTCTCGTGCGGACGGGAAGAGACCGTGTAGTGCTGCGTGTATGAAGCCTAGAGTAAGAGATGACGCCACGCCAGGAATGTAACCGCGTAAGACGGTGGTGTTCCGTGCGCACAGGTGGGGCACACCCGACGGTACCGGTGCCATGAGAGATCTCCCTAAGGCCTTCTTCTGCAGAACTCATTCAGACTTCTGTGATCGGCATGGTTCTGGTCCTGCACTTGTTTTGTCGGGGGGGGGGGTAAGCGGCTCCTCTTCTTTCTTCCCGCCCCTTCTCTCTTTTGAAGGCTTCCAAGCTGCATTGGCATAGTTGTATCGTGTACTTTTCAATATTTCTGGAGGATTCGGGGCCGCCGGTACAAGCGGTGGTGTGCTCGGGGCACCTTGGTTGGAGGTAGCAACTATTGCGTATGGATCGTGCGATCTGCCCCCACGATTATCCTAAAAGTGTATGGTGGATACTACTACCATTTTTTAGGAGTCAGGTTTTTGGGCATTTGAGCTGCCTCTTTCGCGGTGTCGTCTCTTTTCTTCTGTGTGCTGAGTGTGTATAGAAACTGTGACGATGAAGGCCCACGCTGTTTTGCGATTCAGGTCCTTCTTCTGCTACAAGTCAGAGACCAGGCAGGCGTTTTTTTTTTTTTTGAAGTTACAGTAACCTTGTCCACTCCACGGAACATTTGTTTCTTTCTTGTCCCGCACATATCATTTCGCAACGTTTAACTTTAGCCGTTTGTTTCACATTAAGTGCAAGATTTACTCGAGCATTTTTTTTGCCTTGCTTGTTTTCAGTCCAACGTGTCATATATACAGAGTATATTTCCACGCATGCTTCATTATTGACACGCCACGATTTTTTTCCGCTTTTTCTTTCTCTTTTGGCGTGGGCTCGTATGTTTATCCGCTGGACCGCCAGAATAGGTCACCTTGAAGCAACCCTTTTGCTCCTTTTGTTTTTTGTTCTTTCTTGTGGCGGACGGAGTCACACAGTCTTGTCGGACCGCGCGAACACCATTTTCGCGTGCAAACAATCACAAGGAACGATAAGATTTTTTTAGGTGCGGGTTTGCCATGCGTTGCGCCTTCGCTTTTTGCCAACGCGTCGCAGCACTTTGCCGTAGGGCTCGTGTCCCTGTACTGTTCTCTCAGATATGGAAACGGGGTGTTGACGAATTTTCTGTCCGTGTGATGGGTGTCGATGTGTATACCAAGCGTCCTCCGCGTCCAAGGTAACTCTACAAGTTGGTCCAAGACGGGAAGAGGGACATTTTTCCGAAGCTTAAGAGACTCGAACGCAGCACAGGCAGCAATTAAAAAGGGCTGTTCCTATGGTTCCCCTAACTTCTCTAGACGACGTTCCGCTCAAACGCCCGTTGTTATTGCGTGTTGCGCCACTAACTCGCAACCACTGGCAGCACGGCAAACGGCGTTGATTGGCCAGGCCTGCTCCCCTTCCCATATCTCAAAAGTAATTTGATGACGCTCGCACCAAGAGGTGCACCCCTCGACGATCGCGCTGTGCATCCCCCACCATTCCGTTGGGGCGGGCGGCGGTGGCCCAAGCCGGAGAGCCCCCCCCCCCCCCCACAAATGACGCT